ACAGGCCCCCGGCTGATGATGGAGGTTCATAATCTATTCAGGGCTATAACTTTAACAAGCACTCCGTATCAAACGCAACGCTCAGCCGTAAATACGCGCCCAGCTTTGTTTACTGATTTTGGACGTGTTCTGTACAAAGCTGGGAACTGAAGCTGAAGCTTTTTTTTAGTTTTGGAATCAGAACCCCTGTCAAGATTTTTATTGCTGCCTGTGTCCCCATTAGGGAGATTCACCATCTCTAAAAATCCCAAATTTTGGGTTGTCACCAGAACAGGAAGAGAGGGGAAATCTTCCAATAGGGACACTAGTTCTGGCGTCCGTCACGGATTTCCCTGACTTTCTGTTGTGGATATCAGACAGCAATGAAGGTAAATCTTCCCAGTGGGGCACTGATTGCAACGGGGGGTTATTACCCTCCCCTTACTCTTTCCAAAAAAAAAAGAAAAAGATTCGGCTTTTTAAAGGAACCCGATACAGAGCAAAGACTTTGGCTGCCTTTGCGGAACTTTACTAACTCACCAGCGGAACTTTACTAACTCACCAACGTTGCTGGCAGCATGCTTGTTGAGTATAGAGTTAGGAGATCCTTGGTACATATAACCAGATGGAGTATATTGATATATAGTAGGGATGCACCATTACCGATACTGGTATTGGTATCAGTGCCAATACCTAGTATTTGGGTGAGCACTCGCCCAAATGTTCCCGATGCTTATCCCTATACCAGAACTTCCGGTATCAGGAAGCCGGGCGGCGAGTCATTACACACTGATCGGCCTCCTGACTGATTGGGAAGCCAGCTCCATGCTCCCTCGTCACCAGGGAGCATGGAGCTAGCTTTCTGGCCAATCAGGAAGCCGGAGGGCAGGTAATGACTCACCCCCTGGCTTCCTGATTGGCCTGGAAGCGGCTCCATGCTCCCTCATCACTTGGTGACGAGGGAGCATGGAGCTGGCTTCCCAATCAGTCAGGAGGCCGATCAGTGTGTAATGACTCGCCGCCCGGCTTCCTGATACCGGAAGTACCGCCCACCCCCCAGCTTCCTGATTGGCCAGAAAGCCAACTCCATGCTTCCTTGACACCTGGTGATGAAGGAGCATGGAGCAGGCTTCCCGGCTTATCAGGAAGCCGGACGGCGAGTCATTACACGCTGCCTGTCTTCCTTAATGGTACTTCTGGGATCGGTATTTGGTAACGTCGAGTACCAAAAAAAAAAATTTCTGTACTCCTAAACGATACCGAAAAACCGGTCCCTCCTCTCTCCCCTCAATATGCTGAATATATTTTTATATGAAACCTTTCCTTTTTCATTTCATTCCATGCCTTATTTTAGGCCCAGTGATGTAATCGCTGGATCCCTGTGCTTTTCTATGCCATGAAGGCAGATCGCCGGTGGTGGGAGGGGCCAACCGGGTGCTGTACATAGCTTTATGATGACATCACAGGATCCTGCCTCAGTACTCCTCAACCACCTTTTTAATTCAGATATTGGAAAAAAATAACTGACATGACAGGCATTTATTTATTTTTTTTACCTAGGCGACGGATTTTATTTTACATTTTATTTTATTTATATTTTATTTTAGATTATTTACTTTGATTATCATTTATTTCAGATAGACGTCAATGAAATCCGGATTGGGGATTCTGACTCTTTCCCACTCTTTTTTTCTCCGGATTCCACATTTATAATTATTTGCGATGTTTATTATTATTTTAGCTTTTTTTTCTCTAATTAACTTCCAGTTGCAGTTTGTAAAATAATATTTTTTTCCGTTATTCAGAAAGTGGCGCGGTCGGCACTATCCGGTCGGATTCGCGGGCTCGGGTTTGACGCCACATGCTCCCTCGTGGTTCTGGATAAAGGTTCTCAGAGCGCTCCGCCTTCAAAGCAGAACTCCAGCCAAAAATACCCAGATAAAAATGAATATTAAAAGAAGAAATGACAAATACAGCTGCATGTTCACCATCAATCCAGAGATACACCCTCCCTGCAATACTTTTTTCTGCCACTAGTTGCCCTCAGTCTGATGCCCGCCCCCAGCCTGTGACTGGACAGGGAAAGGAGAAGCAGCAGAGTAGTGAGCTCACCGCTCTCTCATTCTGCCCTTTTCTCCTATCAGCATGCTTCTGAGATGTCTAATGACCAGCATCATTCATCCCACTTCCTGTGGGCCCAGGTAAAAAAAAATCTCTCTGTCGCTCTGCTCTCTCGACTGCATTTCGGGCGCACAGTATTTTGGCTTTGGCCAGGTATGGCCGGCAGAGCACGGCCCTTTGTAATTCGTTTTTCATCTGCTTGATATTGGAAAACGGAAACTCTGCTAAGTTTGGAAAATTCTTCTTTATATCCTTCGAGTTCCACAAAACTATGACCAGAAGAATCTGAGCCAAGGGGCACGGCGCTGTGGAAATGGCCGAGGGGCGCGGCGCTGTGGAAATGGCTGAGGGGCACGGTGGCATGGAAATGGCTGAGGGGCACTGCGCTGTGGAAATGGCCGAGGGGCACGGTGGCATGGAAATGGCTGAGGGGCACGGCGCTGTGGAAATGGCTGAGGGGCACTGCGCTGTGGAAATGGCGGAGGGGCACGGCGCTGTAGAAATGGCGGAGGGGCACGGCGCTGTAGAAATGGCGGAGGGGCACGGCGCTGTAGAAATGGCGGAGGGGCACGGCGCTGTAGAAATGGCGGAGGGGCACGGCGCTGTAGAAATGGCGGAGGGGCACGGCGCTGTAGAAATGGCGGAGGGGCACGGCGCTGTAGAAATGGCGGAGGGGCACGGCGCTGTAGAAATGGCGGAGGGGCACGGCGCTGTAGAAATGGCGGAGGGGCACGGCGCTGTAGAAATGGCGGAGGGGCACGGCGCTGTAGAAATGGCGGAGGGGCACGGCGCTGTAGAAATGGCGGAGGGGCACGGCGCTGTAGAAATGGCGGAGGGGCACGGCGCTGTAGAAATGGCGGAGGGGCACGGCGCTGTAGAAATGGCGGAGGGGCACGGCGCTGTAGAAATGGCGGAGGGGCACGGCGCTGTAGAAATGGCGGAGGGGCACGGCGCTGTAGAAATGGCGGAGGGGCACGGCGCTGTAGAAATGGCGGAGGGGCACGGCGCTGTAGAAATGGCGGAGGGGCACGGCGCTGTAGAAATGGCGGAGGGGCACGGCGCTGTAGAAATGGCGGAGGGGCACGGCGCTGTAGAAATGGCGGAGGGGCACGGCGCTGTAGAAATGGCGGAGGGGCACGGCGCTGTAGAAATGGCGGAGGGGCACGGCGCTGTAGAAATGGCGGAGGGGCACGGCGCTGTAGAAATGGCGGAGGGGCACGGCGCTGTAGAAATGGCGGAGGGGCACGGCGCTGTAGAAATGGCGGAGGGGCACGGCGCTGTAGAAATGGCGGAGGGGCACGGCGCTGTAGAAATGGCGGAGGGGCACGGCGCTGTAGAAATGGCGGAGGGGCACGGCGCTGTAGAAATGGCGGAGGGGCACGGCGCTGTAGAAATGGCGGAGGGGCACGGCGCTGTAGAAATGGCGGAGGGGCACGGCGCTGTAGAAATGGCGGAGGGGCACGGCGCTGTAGAAATGGCGGAGGGGCACGGCGCTGTAGAAATGGCGGAGGGGCACGGCGCTGTAGAAATGGCGGAGGGGCACGGCGCTGTAGAAATGGCGGAGGGGCACGGCGCTGTAGAAATGGCGGAGGGGCACGGCGCTGTAGAAATGGCGGAGGGGCACGGCGCTGTAGAAATGGCGGAGGGGCACGGCGCTGTAGAAATGGCGGAGGGGCACGGCGCTGTAGAAATGGCGGAGGGGCACGGCGCTGTAGAAATGGCGGAGGGGCACGGCGCTGTAGAAATGGCGGAGGGGCACGGCGCTGTAGAAATGGCGGAGGGGCACGGCGCTGTAGAAATGGCGGAGGGGCACGGCGCTGTAGAAATGGCGGAGGGGCACGGCGCTGTAGAAATGGCGGAGGGGCACGGCGCTGTAGAAATGGCGGAGGGGCACGGCGCTGTAGAAATGGCGGAGGGGCACGGCGCTGTAGAAATGGCGGAGGGGCACGGCGCTGTAGAAATGGCGGAGGGGCACGGCGCTGTAGAAATGGCGGAGGGGCACGGCGCTGTAGAAATGGCGGAGGGGCACGGCGCTGTAGAAATGGCGGAGGGGCACGGCGCTGTAGAAATGGCGGAGGGGCACGGCGCTGTAGAAATGGCGGAGGGGCACGGCGCTGTAGAAATGGCGGAGGGGCACGGCGCTGTAGAAATGGCGGAGGGGCACGGCGCTGTAGAAATGGCGGAGGGGCACGGCGCTGTAGAAATGGCGGAGGGGCACGGCGCTGTAGAAATGGCGGAGGGGCACGGCGCTGTAGAAATGGCGGAGGGGCACGGCGCTGTAGAAATGGCGGAGGGGCACGGCGCTGTAGAAATGGCGGAGGGGCACGGCGCTGTAGAAATGGCGGAGGGGCACGGCGCTGTAGAAATGGCGGAGGGGCACGGCGCTGTAGAAATGGCGGAGGGGCACGGCGCTGTAGAAATGGCGGAGGGGCACGGCGCTGTAGAAATGGCGGAGGGGCACGGCGCTGTAGAAATGGCGGAGGGGCACGGCGCTGTAGAAATGGCGGAGGGGCACGGCGCTGTAGAAATGGCGGAGGGGCACGGCGCTGTAGAAATGGCGGAGGGGCACGGCGCTGTAGAAATGGCGGAGGGGCACGGCGCTGTAGAAATGGCGGAGGGGCACGGCGCTGTAGAAATGGCGGAGGGGCACGGCGCTGTAGAAATGGCGGAGGGGCACGGCGCTGTAGAAATGGCGGAGGGGCACGGCGCTGTAGAAATGGCGGAGGGGCACGGCGCTGTAGAAATGGCGGAGGGGCACGGCGCTGTAGAAATGGCGGAGGGGCACGGCGCTGTAGAAATGGCGGAGGGGCACGGCGCTGTAGAAATGGCGGAGGGGCACGGCGCTGTAGAAATGGCGGAGGGGCACGGCGCTGTAGAAATGGCGGAGGGGCACGGCGCTGTAGAAATGGCGGAGGGGCACGGCGCTGTAGAAATGGCCGAGGGGCACGGCGCTGTGTTAATAGCCGAGGGGCACGGCGCTGTGGTGATAGCCGAGGGGCACGGCGCTGTGGAAATTGCGGAGGGGCACAGAATTAAAATGTGTCTTTTTATTATTGTTACAATGAAAACATTTGTGACTTTGTTGCTGCGGTAATCCCCAACGCCCGACCCTCCCCCGCCCTGGCGGATATTGCCGCAGTCGGCAGAGCGTACCTGTTCTGACTTCGGCCGGTGTGGCGAAGGCGATGAAAAGCTTTGAGCAATGACTTCATGTCATGTTTTTATCTACAGACCATCGCTCAAAATGAAATATGGCTCCCATGTGGTAACGGCATCTTGAGGCTGATCGGGGTCACTGAAACCATCAACAGATATGGCAGATATAAAAGACACAAATGAGCGCAGAACGTGTCTATATAATAATAGTAATACTTTGTTTACTTTGAGAAGGAAATGCAGCACATGGAGCCAGCAAGTTGTGCTGTAGTGCTAACAGTGAGCACGCTGATATGAGGAAAGAGCAGAGTGGAAGAGAAATTAGCTCATCAGTCTGTTGCTTCTCCTTTTACTGACCAGCCACAGGCTGCGGGGCTGCACGCAGGAGTACTTGGAGGTGGAAGTGGAATTGCCATCCTGGCATTTATCAAATAATACTAAGTAAGTTACCTTCTCCTAACATCAATCTAACCCCAGAGCTGATCCTTAATTCTGCTTAACATAACTCCAATTCATAACCTTAGGCGGACTCTGAAACCTTTCCTGAACCCTGACCTCTAAAACTTGAATTGGCCATTAGGAGGATCATTTATCACTGGGATAATTAGGATGAAAGTCTGCCCATTATGTCTTATAATGGCCATGGATACCAGTCCTTCCTGGTCCTTCCAGTCCTTGGTTTTCCTTGTACTGTAGCTGTGATCAAAGGCGTCATGGAGTTTGGTGGACTCACTGTGTCACCTGGGGGCAGGGGCGTCCCGAGGCTGGGAGACACCCGGAGCGGTAACCGAGTGTCACCCTGCCGAGACGTCACTGCGCATGCGCGTGACGTCACCACGCGCGTGCGCGACAGTCATCGCGCACGCGCGCCAGTATTTTGATACCTGCTGGCGGCCATCTTGGTGATGGACGCTGGCAGAGAGAGGAGGGGACAGTCACCCGGCGGGATAAGGTATGCCGTCGGGTCCCCTCCTCTCTCCTGATACTGTCCATGACTGAGCGCCCGACTTTTCTGAGGGGGGTGACACCAAAATGGCTGTGAGTCATTTTGGTGTCACCCCTCCAATGGTGTCACCCGGGCGCGGGCCGCACCCCCCTTGTGACGCCACAGGCTGGGGGTGACTTTTGGACAGATCAGGCACAGAGTGCAAGTTCCAGTTAAATACAAACGCAGTCAAACAAACTGCAGAAATGATGCAGGGCATAATCAGATAGACCAACCTGCTCATCAGTCACAGGTAAATTGTCCAGCAGTCTGCTTCAGCAGCCTCGGTTAGGGCAGGTGTGTGCTAGAGAAGCCTGAGCTGCAGTGTTGAGTAACGACTAGCAGATGGTGAAAGGCTCAAGGCTGATGGTTGCAAAAAAGTTTTTTTTTCTGACATTGGTTTGATGGCCTTGCCATTGATCTGGTAAATTGCCAGATATCCACCCTATCCTCTTCTCAGAAGATCATTCAGACAATGGGTGGAGATTGGGTTCCATTAGGTGGAGCATTGGTAGGCCCATGTCATCAGTCTAGGTAAATTGCCAGATATCCAACCTACCCTCTTGTCGATCCAGAAGATCATTCAGACAATGGGTGGAGATTGGGTTCCATTGGGTGGAGCAGTAGTAGGCCCATGTCATTGATCTGGTAAATTGCCAGATATCCAACTTGACCTCCTGTCAATCCAGAAGATAATTCAGACATTGGGTGCAGATTGGGTTCCATTGGGCAGAGCAGTGGTAGGCCCATGTCATTGGTCTGGTAAATTTCCAGATATCCAACCTGCCCTCTTGTCGGTCCAGAAGATCATTCAGACATTGGGTGGAGATTGGGTTCTATTAGGTGGAACAGCCGTAGGGCCATGTCATTGGTCTGGTAAATTGCCAGAAATCCAACCTGCTCTCTTGTTGCTCCAGAAGATAATTCAGACATTGGGTGGAGATTGGGTGCCTTTTTGTGGAGCATTGGTAGGTCCATGCCCTCAGTCTTGGTAAATTGCCAGATATCCAACCTGCCCTCTTCTCAGAAGATCATTCTGCTATTGGGTGGAGATTGGGTTCCATTGGGTGAAGCATTGGTAGGCCCATGTCCTCAGTCTAGGTAAATTGCCAGATATCCAACCTACCCTCTTCTCAGAAGATCATTCTGCTATTGGGTGGAGATTGGGTTTCATTAGGTGCCCTCTTATTGATCTAAAAGATCATTGGATCCAGGTACTAGTCTATCCTCCCTGTGCTAAGAAACCATTCCTCCTGCTTATATTGGCAGCCATTGCCATTTGTTGGAATGATCATTCTTGTTACATTTATTTTCATTATAATGGTTTTAATGACGTCTAGCCTCCAGAGAACAATAACCTACCTGGAGTTCGGCTTCCTAAATGTTTCCTCTTTTGCTTATTGAACTGTTGCATCTCTCTCATTTCTAATACAAACCTCTCGCCTTCGACTACAATTATTATTCCCCTGGAGAAGACGTTGGTGTTTCTTGGATTTAGAGGAGGCCCCAGGGGCTGGAGTCTAGACATGTTGGTGGGATGATACCGTATCTAGGGCTGGCCACAGAACAATGAACAAAAATTAAAATATGAGAATGATTTTGTAGTGTAACAAAGCAATTAGATAAATCCCTTCACTGGTCTCGCCAGAGGTTTAGTGCATCCCTCCTCTGCTGTAGATCAGATAATATACGTAGCTGATTCCGAATGGGGAGGTCGGAGGACCTCTGTCCAGGTCGTTATTCTGGACTACACCGTGTACTTTGCTTGATGCCTCAAAATGACAATTTACATGAATCTGTAGGCTCTTCTTGGCAATGAACACAGAGAATGAAAGCAGGCTTCTGTCAAGGATCCTCCAGGTCTACACATGACTTCAGATTCTGTATAATTCACAGGTGACCACAACAGGAACGTGATCATGTGGATGGATCACCGGGCTGGAAGTCAAGTAGACCGCATCAACAAGACCAGCCATGCTGTCCTGCGCTATGTAGGCGGAGTGATGTCCGTGGAGATGCAACCACCCAAACTGCTCTGGTTAAAGGAGGTGAGCTTCTTAAATTGGTCCTGAATAGGGATGGGCTCAGGTTCGGATCAGCTATATCATCATAATAACCAAATGTAATAAAAATAAAACTTTAGCTTTTATTAAAGGAGAACTATGAGGCGAGTCCTTTTCACTCACCTCATAGTTCTAGCCGACCTGTGACAATGAGACTGTCACAGGTCGGCTCAGTAGATCGGGAGGTGAGCGAACACATACCGGGTTGGCTCGCTTCTCGATCCTGTCACGGCTCTTTGCCGTGACAGGGGGAGGGGCTGGATTCCCCTCTCCCCCCTCCGATCTGCCAGCGCTGACTGGCAGAACGGACGGGGGAGGCGGCGGGTACAGCTGGCTCTGCCTCTAGATAGGCAGAGCCAGCTGTCAGTCAGCTGCGGCATCTCAGTATACCGCGAGCAGCAGCTCGCAGTATACTGCGGCGTCTCAGTATACCGCAAGCTACAGCTCGCGGTATACTGAGCCTAGGGTGACGGGAGGACGCTAGTTTGTGTCCTCCCGTTACCCTAAGGAGGACTATGGGGAAAAGCCCTGACCCCATAGTTCTCCTTTAAATAATATCATTGATAGACAAAACATAACATATGAGATCTTCACAACATAAATAAAAGATTTCATTTTGACATCCGGACTGTGTTTGGGTCACGTTGGGTTTTCCTGAATGTGAAATGTGTCTAATTATCACCAGAATACTTTGCTGAGTGTTTGTAAACATTGCAGAGAAGTGACACAGACGGTGCGGATGAGATTATAGAGGATTCCTGGAGCCAGACAGAGGACTGTGAGAGCGATAGCATGGGTGTGACCTGAAAAAAACGAAATACAGGACACAAATGAGGGGAAGAAAACAGCACAGAATCCCTTCCTCTCTTTATTCTTGTTTTAGTTTTATTTATTTTCTGTTTTTGTACTTTTTTTAAAATCTTTTTTGAATTGTCGTATACACAGGCAATTCTTTTTCTAGTTTTGGAGAGAATGGGTTCTTTAAACTAGAGAGATTTCCCCCCACTTCCTGTCCTGGTAACAATGCAAGTTCTAGTCCAGACAGGAAGTAAGGAGAAATATCCAACAGCAACATTGAAACAAATGGCATGTTTTTCTTTAGTAAAGTACAGAAAGGTAAGAACACCTGCGTCACCGTAGCAGCTTTTCCTTCACTTCCTGTCTGGTAAAACCATTGTCACCAGGACAGGAAGTGAAGGGAAGTCTCTCTAACTGATCCCTGATAGACTTCCAAAATAGAGTTTTGTCTGGACATAGACTTTAATATTCTATTCTTTTGTACTTTTTTCTGTTTAAAATGCAAATCTTAAAGTGTAAATCAGGTTAAAATAATTTTTTAAAAATTATTACATAACAACACAGCTCCTAACTTCCTATTTGAGCGGACAACACAGCTCCTAACTTCCTGTTTGAGTGGACAACACAGCTCCTAACTTCCTGTTTGAGTGGACAACACAGCTCCTAACTTCCCATTTGAGCAGACAACACAGCTCCTAACTTCCCATTTGAGCAGACAACACAGCTCCTAACTTCCCATTTGAGCAGACCACACAGCTCCTAACTTCCTGTTTGAGCAGACAACACAGCTCCTAACTTACTGTTTGAGTGGACAACACAGCTCCTAACTTCCTATTTGAGCGGACAACACCGCTCCTAACTTCCTGTTTGAGCAGAAAACACAGCTCCTAACTTCCTGTTTGAGCAGAAAACACAGCTCCTAACTTCCTGTTTGAGCAGACAATGCAGCCTTTGCTGCACTGAAATTCCAAACAGTGTCAGCCCAGCCTCTGTTCTCTTTTAAAGGACTACAAACCCCCTCCCCTTACGTTCTGGAAATGAGGAGAGGGGGTGTGGTGTTCTGTACAGCAGGGAAACTCAGGCACGGATGACAACACTGCTTGGGATTGCAGTGCAGCAGAGGCAGCGTTGTCATCTCAAACAGGAAGTTAGGGGCTATTCCTGTTTGAGCAGAAAACACAGCTCCTAACTTCCTGTTTGAGCAGACAATGCAGCCTTTGCTGCACTGAAATTCCAAACAGTGTCAGCCCAGCCTCTGTTCTCTTTTAAAGGACTACAAACCCCCTCCCCTTACGTTCTGGAAATGAGGAGAGGGGGTGTGGTGTTCTGTACAGCAGGGAAACTCAGGCACGGATGACAACACTGCTTGGGATTGCAGTGCAGCAGAGGCAGCGTTGTCATCTCAAACAGGAAGTTAGGGGCTCACTGGATTTCTGTAGCATTTTTAAAGAGACGGCACATGGGTAAATGTGCATGTTTTACAGAGATATACTGAATGTATTTTTTTTTTTTTTACATTTCACCCAGACACTTGCTTTAACAAGGACGGACATGAATTAAACTGTTCCTTGTATAAGCACAGTGAAATGCATGGCAGTAAGGTGCAGACAGACTAAGGTCACCGGTAATAACAGTATCAAGGCAGGTTTGACAGTTTCATGTTAATGGAGTATAATTAACATTGCTTTAAGACTGTATGTTCTCCTGAAAGGTGGATATCAATTGTTTAAGTCCATTTGCTCTCTCCATTACTGAGCCGGAGTAAATCAGCTTCTCCCGGCGTTCTGTCTGAGCATTCCGAGGATTTATGACCTGAAACGCGTAGTGCAGAGAACACATATATTATGCATTGTCATATAA